GGGGGTGGGGAGGGGGCTGGTGGCGCGGGGAGCAGTAAGTGAGCGGCACCGCAAACAAGATCTCACACACACACATGCACACACACACACACGCGCGCACATACGCGCGCGCACACATTGGGTCTCCAGGCGGCGGCTGTGGCCGCATCCCCGGCAGCAGCTCCGGGCAAAGTGACAGGTAGGAGAAGGCATTTCGGGTCCCGCCCGAGGATGCTCCCGCCCGCCCCGGCCCGTTGGGTTTGTTTGCTCCCGGCGGGTGCGTCCCGGACGCGTGCGCGCGCACCCGGATGCCTTGCCGGGGAGCCGGTGCAGGTGCGGGGTGCGAGGCGCCGCGCGCGCGGGAGGCAGGGGTCCACGCGCCCACCCCCTCCCCTATAATCGTCGCCCACTGGGTTTCCTCAGACTCTGTCCAGACGTTCACCGCTTCTGGCTAGAAATAGCTCGGCTCGACGTGTATATGATTATTTTGGTTGGAAATAGTTGGCACCGTGTAAAGCATGTAAATGTGTATGCATGTGGATCTTCTTACCTCTTCTGGGGAGGTAATAGAAATGATTGACCATTTCCACTTAACACTGACAGGCCAGCACTCGGTGGGGGGCAGTGTTTGGGCCTCTTAAAAACATATAAATGATGGAGATTAAAGGTTGTCTTATTTTCAGAATTTTCAAGTTGCCTTTTCCTTAACTAATTAGACCCTGTCTATATAGTACAGTACTTCTGGCTGTAGACTTTGTAGGCAGTACCGAAGTATGGAAATATGGAAGTCACCAATTTCTAGTTGTTTCTAAGTGCACCTTTATCTAGAATCATAAAACTCTCATAAAGTAGCATTTTTTCTAGAGAAAATATAAATGCCCATTTATATTTTCAAACTTAAGCATGTATTTGAGAGAGAACTTCCTACTCTTTTTTTTAACTCGTAGCAAGTCTGTTATAAACACAGGTGTTTAAAATTTAATTTCGGTCAAAGCATTAATGGAAGGTCGCCTTTTTTTTTTTTAACCATAAATGTGATACAGGGTGATCTATAAATTAAGTCATGAGTGTGTGGGAGATAGCTGTTTAATAATTCTGTTTGGTTGGCAATAATGTCATTCAAACATAGGCAGCCCTGTAATATCTAAAATTGAATTGAGTTTCCTTTTTAAAGGGAAATCAGATTCATAAAGTAAACATGACCAGGAAAAGCAACTGGTGACTTCACCCGGGCCATCTATGAGGAGGTTAAAAAAGTGTCTAAGGAATTGTGTTCCTTGGGAAAAACTCTGTGTTTGTGTGTAAAATTTAACTTTATCTTTTAGTTTTTTCAGACTCTTGGTTTCAAAAATATGTGGTCGAGCTGAGAACCTAATGTTGTGCACTCTTCAAACTTCAGTGGCCTAAGTTATAGAACCAAGCAAAAGCACAGAAATCGAGCTGGGTAGGGGTGTGTAGTTTAATCTGCCATTATCCATGTTATGTAATCTAGAATGCTGTTTTTCATAAGACAGTCTTGCATAGTTTTCAGCTGGTGTTTTAATCTATTATGTCATCTTCCTTTTGAACTGTAGAAGTTTAATAAATGATTGCCATCTTGGGAGAACACCTGTTTTCATAGAAATTCACTTCTTAAATGGAAGAGCATTTTTTATTGGCATTTTTATTTCAGGAGACTTGCTGCCACAGCTAGTAACCCTTTGCGTGTAACATATTATGGCATAGCTAAAGGTACCCTCTAGTAGATTACCGATTACACATCCCTCCCACTATGATTACTCAACCATCTGAATTTCGTTTTGATTTAGCTTTGATGATATCACTACCCAGCTTTGAATTAATGGCTGTTGAAATTGCTATTCTAGAAGTAACTGTCAAAACAGAATTTCTAAGACTCCATTTGATCACTGGATACACATTTCTATCTGTCGGAATAATGCTACCTTTATTTTACAAATGCACACCCACACAGAAGCGCTTTGTTCTCAAATACTGTCTTCGGAGTTTTATATTTGTGTGCCTGAAAATGTGAATGATATTAAACTACTTCTGTGCCCCAGAATCTTGAGGTAGTGTATTTTCGCCTATGAGGGAGCGAAATACGGAAGTTTAAAAAGTGGTAAGGGTTCCTGAAAAGCTTTTGCAGAAATGGACTTTAAAAATCTGTATCACTTTGAGCGATTTCATCTCCAGTAGAGACCTAGCCAGTGCCTTTCGCCCTGCTATTTTATGTTTCCAACTGTCTTTGCCTTAATGCGCCCTGCTGATTTTGGCGTCAGGGGCCAGTTATATTTATTAGGAATTGAAATGTGTTTGCCTAGTATCCCTACCCACCTTCAAAGTTAAAATTAAGGTAAAATTGCCTTTCATTGTTGCTCTGTTGTTTTCCTTGAAGGGATCACATTGGCATGCTAATTTGTGAACGGATGTGATATAAGTGAGGCCAGCTTCTGGATGTTGTGTTGCGTTTCCATCCTCAAACGTTCAGATGTAGCCAGCAGACTCAAATATCACAATTAACTAATAACTTTTGTGGATTATTATTTTTTTAAATACGTTAGTCATTAGCTGCTGAGTTTATTTGATTTTTAAAATTTTAAAGTTTTGTACTGAGGATAAATTTTAGCTTTTTGTATCACAGCACTTAATATAGTCATAGGAGAGAAAGTTTATGTATTTTTCCTCTTCTCCACAAGTGCCCCCCAAATATTTTGGGGAAAGCAAAAATATTCTTTGAAACTTAAAATTATTTTGCAGATTGTGACCAAATTATCATCGTTTGTAAGGACCACTTGTAAAGTAAGGATGAAACAGCATGTTTATTAGCACTCGTGACCCAGGTTTTTAATAAACTGGCTATCACAGTAAGTCTTGTAAAACCAAGAACTTCTGCGTTTTATATGCAGAATGAGGTCAAGGACTAATGGAGCCGCTTTAATGATCACACCTGGTATTTCATGTCCAGACTGAAGTTTCTAAAATAGATGGTTTTCACCTCGTAATGTGAACTTGTAGGCCACATTAGTGTCTTCCAAAAAGACTCATCTGCCTCTCGAGAAATAAATACAGCTTTTCATTGCCGATGGTGGGCAGCAGTGACTTTCTGTGGTTTTCCTGGTGGTGTTCAGATGTTCACCGTGCCTGCAAGGACACTGCTTAGTTCTCAGTACTGTCCATTCTGTATCTTTCTACTCCCCTGCAATCATCAGGAAATACAATAGCCTTGCGTAGGTCTTTCCTCCATTCCTTAGTATTTGTTTTTCTGTGTAATAGTTTCTCTTTTGATAAAGCCTTCCCCCTTAAAGTAGAAATACTTCCTCAAGGTATAGTATTGTTTATCTAGTTATACCTTAGAATGATATGAAGGTCTAGCACATTCAAGAGGCTGTGATTCTTCAGCTAACCAAATAGAAAAATGGGTGGTTTACTTCACCCCAGTGGAAGTAGAGCGGGGTGATAATGCATCGCCGAGTAGATGAGTGAGAAGTCTGCATTGCCCTCATCAGAATTAAGCCTGCTTTAAAAAAAAAAAAAAAAAAAAAATCACCCAGAGTCATTTTTATTCTCAAGGCCGATTTCACTTAGTTGCAACAACCACCCCCAAATCCCACTTTGTAAAAGTCTGGCTGGAAGCTCATGCCTTTGGATGCTTTTCATATGCTCAAGGTGTAACCCAAGTTCATAGAAGAGGTGAAGGCACTAAAGCCCTACCTTCCAGATCTCAGCTGGGAGATCCTTCTGTGCAAGAGGATGAATGGTCAGCAGTTTTTATTTTTCTCTGCATGAACTCCATCTAGTTTTTTTTTCTTTTTCTTTGAGGAATCAAAATAGTTGAAAGAGACGGAAATCAGAAGAAAGTGTTTCTCTGAACACCTCTCTAGCCTACCACCTATAAAACCTTCCTTGAGAAGGTCACATACAGTGTGAGGGCCCGTTAGCATTATCTTATCCCCTTGATTGGGAGTCTCCTTCATAACTCTTCTCCCATGATCCTTTGGTGTGCTGAGGGTTGGGAAATTCTACCTCTAGCAACCATGCTACCCTTGGGCCAGGCAAGTCATTGCTTTAAGATACATTGCCCTCAAAGCATTCTTTTGCTCCTGAACAATTAAAAGGTGTTGGGGCGCCTGGGTGGCTCAGTTGGTTAAGCGACTGCCTTCGGCTCAGGTCATGATCCTGGAGTCCCGGGATCGAGTCCCACATCAGGCTC